CCCCTTAAAACAGTATTAAATCGGACATAGGATTAAAACAGATTAAAACAACAGTAGTTAAAAACATAAAATAAACAATCAGATGAATAAAACAACCCAAATAGCGGGAAAGCAGCAAGAATCATAATTGGGGAGAGGACCGAGTAGTGGGAATTTTGTGAGGCCAAGACATCTATTCTGGAAAGGCCTGCCAGAAGAGAACTGTCTTAACAGTCTTTGATATAATCAGATGGATCTCATCCGGCAGGCCGTTCCACAATCTGGGGCGACTACTGAGAATGCCCCCTGGGAGGTAGCAGAAAGCCTAGATTTCAATGGCTGAGGCAAGTTCCTCCCAGAGGACCAGAGTGCCCGGGGAGGATTGTATGGGAGAAAGCGGTCCCGAAGGTAGTTTGGACCCAAGCCATTTAGGGCTTTAAAGGTAATAACCAATACCTTATACTGGGCCCAGAAACTAATAGGCAGCCAGTGGAGGGGACCTTAAAACTGAGTTATATGGTCCCTCCTAGATGTTCCAGAAACCACTCTGGCTGCTATGTTTTGTACTAACTGTAGTTTCCGGACCAAGCATGAGGGTAGCCCCATGTGCATTACCGAAATCTAGGTGGGAGGTTACCAGCGCATGCACAACAGTCTCAAGATCCCTTACTTCCAGAAAAGGGTGCAGCTGGCGTATCAGCCGAAGCTGATAACAGACACTCCTGACTGTTGCATTTACCTGATTTGTCATCAGGAGCGATGAGTCAAGGAGCACTCCCAGACTGCAAACACAGTCGTTTACAGAGAGTGTGACCTCGTCCAGGACCGGAGGTTGCAACCCAATTCTCGGTTTTGGAGCAGTTACTGTGAGCACCTCCGTTTTGTCTGGATTCACTCTCAATCTGTTTTTCCTCATCCAGCCCATTACTACCTGAAAACATTCATTGAGGGAGGAGACCTCAAGGAGCTTCCAGGAGCTGAAGTCCCTCAGCCCTTAAAGGGGAAACTTTGCCCACCCCTGTCTAGCCTACTTAGTTAACTAAGTAGCTATGTAGAATACTGGACATAGTTTATTGTTTCTACAGATCATGGTGGTTTTGTTTGTTTTTGGGTTTTTTGCAAAATTCTAATAGAAGTTTGTATTTACAGACCCAGATACAGGTGTTCTTATGATGAAAAATGCTTCTCATAGCCACTCTGGCACATACAAATGTGTGGCTTCAAACAGGGTTGGAACAGATGAATGCTCTATTACAGTGGATGTCACCCCTCGTAAGTATGAATAGTTAATGGTGAAATAATAGATATAGTGAGGCATTCGTTCACTTACTATTAAATAGCTAAATTACTTTCTTCTATCATTTATAACTTGTTTTCTTTATTTCAGCTATGAACAGAGGTGGTACGATTGCTGGAGCTGTTATAGGATCTCTTCTAGCTATTTTGTTAGTGGCTTTTATTATCTTTTGTTGCTTCAAGAAACAAAGAGAAAAGAAGTATGAAAAAGAGGTACATCACGATATCAGGTGTGTCATTCTCACTTCCCAGATTAAAAGCTGAGAGTTGTTTTTAACTTGTATAAGTAATTTATACAGTAAGTAAGTTACATTTCAGTAGCATGCTTAAGACTTAGCTTAGAACCTCTAACATATTTAGGTTATTGGAAGTAGGAAACTTTGAATTATAATGATAGAAATTGGTAGAGGCAGTACATGTGTAGGCCAGTGATAGTCTTTTATGTCACCTATAGGGTGTTGTCAGAGTCTGCCTTTATAAAGCAGACAAGCAATTGAACAAGAACAATGCTACCCTAGCTTGCCTCCTGCTCTCTGGATTCCTTGTTGTTTTGTCACTCTTTCTTTGTCTGCCCTTGAAAGCTGTTTATCTCCTTCCCCCATCCAGAGCTGCAGTGCAAATCTTCTTTTAAGCAGAGCAGAGAGGAAGCAAACTACTTCGCCCTTTTCAGTAGGATTCCCCTTTTACTATGCGAGGACATAGCTGATTCTTATTGGTAGTAGGTTAAGGTTAGCGTAAACATGGAAGTAATAGTAAAATGTAACGTTTCTGATACATAGAGGATTTCTAAGCATGGGGGGGGGAGTGCTATTGAAATAATGGGTACTAATTCCTATGCAGAAGACCAGCCACTGTGAATTAGGCAACAACCCTATTTGAGTATGCTTTCCCATAAGGAAACCCATAAGCAGAACATATAAGTGAATAAAATAATAACAACAGCAGTAGCAGCAACATAAGTACAACAGCATCCTCCCACTTGTTCCCCAACAATTGATATATAGAGGTGTATCAGAACCACTGGAAGATGCATATATCCCTCATGAGTTCTAGGATGTTTCTCATAAAATCATAGAGTTGGAGGGGGGCCTCATGGGCCATGGAATCCAACTTGCTGCTCAATGCAGGATTTCCAGCTAAATCATCACCAACAGATAGCTGTCCAGCTTTTTAAAGTGTTGTTGTTGTTTTTTAAGACTCTTTAGCAAACTCTTCATTATGCTTGATATTTCAGAGAGGATGTTCCTCCACCAAAGAGTCGTGCTTCAACAGCCCGTAGCTATATAGGGAGTAATCGATCATCTTTGGGTTCAATGTCTCCTTCTAATATGGATGGATATGCCAAAACTCAGTACAACAAAGTACCGAGTGAAGACTTTGAACGTACTCTTCCTCAAAATCCAAATTACGAACCTCCAAAGGTAGCTGCACCTAATCTAAGTAGAATGGGAGCTATTCCTGTGATGATTCCAGCACAAAGCAAAGATGGTTCCATAGTATAGTGTGGAAGTAATTTATATTTCTGCAGTTCAATACAAGCATTGATGATTAACTTGTTTCATTTCTACACTTTTACATATACATAAAATTGATCTTGAGCTTTGTATTAATACCAGCTTTGTATTAATTCTTGACTGTGTACCCTAAAAACTGAATCCTTTGAAAAAAAGAATTGTCATTTGTGGCAAAACATAGAACACGGGCAATATTTAAATTCCATGGGTTGCTGAGTAAGTCGTAGAGTTATTTTGGTTTTTTGAGGTTTTGGGTGATACTAAAGTATGAAGTTATTTGTCATTAAATTTTTTGAATGAAGTATATTCAATATACTGTTACAAAAGTGTTTGTGTAAAAAGTCTGGAAACATGAAATTGAATTCTTGTGATCTGATTTATTTTTCTCAATAATTTTAAATTTTTAAACGAATTATCAATTATAGTTAAGCAGGCTGATTAAACACAGTTTAATTTGAGCTTAATTGCTTAACCATGTCCTACCAGTGGTTTCCCTCTTGTAGAATATCCACTTGTGCTTGTTCTAGGAGCACAAACTTTTTTGTCTTGATACATTGTGTGTGTGTGTGTGTGTGTGTGTGTTTGCACAAAATAAAGAATATAGACATGTTAATTACCCTTCTGACCAAAAGAAGGAAGGTGGAGATAGAGAAAGATAACTTAAAAACATTCCTAAATCAATCCACCATCAGTCCTGCCTAGAA